TAGCACATTTTGTTGATATTTTGCCTTATTTATTAAATGCTCATGTTGACTTGTAACTGAGATTTTGTTGTCAGCCTATTGCTTCCTGTGCTGTCCTGTATCTGTTTTGAGTCATCACCTCAACCCATCAAAGCATTTTTGAATACCGACTCGTGACACCACGAATCGCCCCTGAAGATAAAATTCTATCGTATACTCTCACCAGTGGGGTCCCAGAGCTAGCTGGCCCTACACCAACAGCAGAGGAAAGAAACGAGAGGTGCGACACCAGCAGCGACACAATTTTGCAACAAATGTTCATACCATTACCAGAAATGGGTAATTTGACTTTTGGGGTGATTGAAATGAACTCTAATTTTATTTACCCTTCTCGGCACAAAACCAATATTTTTATGATCGAGAAAAAAAAATGGGTGGGCTGATTTGTTATTTGTCACACCACATTTTATTAACATTAAATTGGGCAATTTTATGGACACTCTTTACGATTATAAATGGCGGTATTTTATTTTCGTGCATAGCCATAAAATTACTGTTTCGCACGATGTTATTTTCGCACAAAGCAGTTTGAAGACTTCTAGGGTACCGGGGATACTCCCATTTTTGCCTGAAATAAAAGTTTCTTTGTTCGATTTGTCCCGCCGCGAGTGCGCGCCCGTACTATTGTTTACATTCAATGAAACTGTGAATGTTTAACTTGTTTCCAAATGAAGTAATATTAACATAAGCGGTAGGACTGACTTGGTGCAATTTTTTGCTGAGCAAATGTTACTCGTTACTCGGTAGAAGATGATGATAAACTGGACTATGTTGATTACTCCAGCACATGAAATTCGTGAGGCTGAAGGGCACAAAAAGCGTAAAAAATCGCCGACCGATTTTGAAGAAATAAAGGACGCATTCATTGGTTGGGTAAATACTTTCCGAGAAGAGCATGAAATACTAGCAAAAATGGTGATAAACTGGGACCAAACTGGTGTTAACATGCTACATGCTGAATGGATTCTACATGCTGATGGAAGGAGGAAACAAGCAGATTACGATTTCCGGTCTAGATGACAAACGACAAATCACGTCTGTGCTCGCTGTCTCAATGGCAGGAAATTTGTTGGATCCACAAATTATTTATGCTGGAAAAAGCAATCGATCCATCCCAATGTGAACTTCCCAGATGGATTGCTCGTGGATCACACAATGTTCCATTGGAGTACTGAAGAATCAATGTTGTGTTATGTCGAGAAAATTATTGTACCCTACGTCATAGACGTCGTGTGAAACTTGGGTTGCCTCTCGACCACAAAACACTTGCCTTGTTTGACGTATTCAAAGCTCATCGGGGGAAAAAGCTCCTCAGTCTTTTAGCAGAAAATAATATCAAGGTGGTATTTATTCCAGCAGCTTGTACAGATAAATTACAGCCGTAAATAAAGATTACAAAGAAATCTTGAAATGATGTTTCAACGCCTGGTATGCCGAGAAGGTCATGGAAAGTATGAATGAAAACCAAGACACCAACAGTGTTCATATCGATACACGGACATAGACGCTAAAACCAATCCATGCACAGTGGCTTATCAAAGCACATGACGAACTTGCAAAACGCACTGGGGTGATGAAAGATGGATTTTGCCTTGCGGGACTTTCGTAAGCATGTGTTGTTTTTGTATTGGACATTTACCATTTGTATTTTACCGTCGCATCGCCTAGCGTTCAACGTATTTAACAACGTCGCAATGCATTTATTTATTTACTCGACATCACCATTATTTATTGTGTATGTACAATGTATATATTTGGTGCAATTGTAAATAAAGACACAATGAAATACTAATCGTGGATAAGTGACAAAGTGTTCTCATGTTTAAGTTTATGCCGTAGTGTTTCAGACAATTAGTCATTTTACAACAATGTTTCAGACCACGCGTTTTGTTTGTATGCGTGAGCTCATTAATATTCATGTATATAATGAGCTGTTCGTGTGGACTTTAATTTTGCGCAAAATTGGTCTCTGCCAAAATAGCGAAAATAAATCCTCGCAAATATAAAGTAACTCACAGTACTGGAAAATGACTAATTGTTCACTGGGTTTTAATTTTGCTTATTTCACTGACTGGAAAATGTGCTAAATTAAAACCCAGTGAATATGTAAAATTTAGCATAGAACACATTATTTAAATGATAAAACAATGAATTTAAAACCTACTGAATATGCCTCAAATTGTAAATCAGCGAAATTTAATCCCAGTTAATATTAGTCATTTTACATTAAGCTATTCAGTGCTAAAAAAATTTATTTATAAACAACCCATGCATGGCACAGTCCCAGTTAGTTATCGATTTTAAGATGTATAGTTTTGTTTATAGTAATATAGCTGGAATACAAGTCATTGAAAATGACACAGTCCCCGTTAAATGTTTGAAAATTCTCTTTGTGCTCATCATATTAAAGCGGAGGGGTTGTCGCGAGCGTGTTCTTTAGTTCCTAATGGCGTATACAACAGATTGTTTATTTTCATCAAAACATGTGTTCTGTGTAGTAGTAATAATATGGCCAAAAATTTAAACAACCGTAATTCGGCCATCTTTGATCTGATTGTGAAACACACTGATATGTATGATGTATGTGCCAAATACGAATGAAAATGGTACATAAATTGTGGATATATAGTAGTAAGGCCAAAAAGTCAGATGGCTGTCAATCGGCCAGCTTTGACCAGATTTTGAAACAAATTGTCATGGACATGCATCCTAACGTGTATAAAGTACATGTATGTGCCGAATTTGAATGAAAACTGACAGAGCACGTCCAAGATACCACATAAAAAAACAAAACAAGATGCCGGCCAGTCGACCATCTTTGATCCAATTGCAAAATAAATCGTCATGGACATGTATCCTAACATGTATAATCTATGTACCAAGTTTGAATGAAAACTGACAAAGCATGTCCAAAATGCAACATTTTCAAAAAACAAGATGATCTGAAAAATAAAATTATTTGCATCAAGGTCCCATAATGTCTAATGTATATAACCAAGTTTGAACAAAATCCATCTGTAAACAGCCGAGAAATGCTGTATTATGATTTTTTTTTAGCACAAAAATGGCTGCCATTCCGCCATCTTGAAATAGATCGTGAAACAAATTGATGTGCATATGTATAATATTATGATTATAGTTTGATTGTGATTGGTCCAGTCATTTCTAAGATGCAGGTTCGAACGCACGCACACATGGAAGCACAGACGCACAAGGGTCAAAACATTGTTTACATTGTAGTTGCCTGGAATTTAAGGTCAAAGTGAAGTCATACAATGGATTTGCACGACAATAAATTTGCCGATTTTAATAAATATTCTAACTCCCTCGGCATGGGTGTGAACAGTTTATTTATCCGCAACATGGTTCGAGACAAAAGAATGCCGTTTCCAGACTGGGGATAGAGACTGTGATAGAAATTATAAAAAGTGATGAAAATGTTAGCATCTATTACAACTTAACATTGCTGGGCAAATTTTCCTCATCTTTGATGTTTTCCAGTTCTAACAAATGGCGGTGTTAAAGACTAAAAATCCACTGAAAGTGTAACCTGCAGAATTCATAACTATGATGACAAACACTAGTTATAATTACATTCTAATACTTACCTGATGGTAACCGAAGTGATGACCATATATCCTGAGAACCCCAGTCAGCTTTGACAGGTGGACAGTTAATTACAGGCCATGCGGTATTACCAGATAAAACTGGACCAAGTCCATTACTACGGCCAGCTACAGCTATGAATACCGTAGGAATGCCTTCACCTAAAATAAAAAAATAAAATAAAATTTCTTCAAACTGTAAATTTAACTACTTGATAGTAGATGAATACAAGATAAATACTGGAAATGACATTTGTCTTTGAAGTAAACTGTTTTCAATTCTTGAAAGCCCATTCCTATCAATTCATCCACTAGTTGTAGAAAAGCAGTAAATGTTTGCTTGTTATCAAAATCAAATTTCATAAAGTAGAACAGTTTGATTCAGTGATGTAAGTGATTAAAAAACCCAAGCCATTAAATTAAAACTTCTTAAAAACAGTATGGATAGGGGGGAAGAGTTAAATTAGCTCTTCTGAGTCTCAATTTGGGTAAGTTGTATGCAAAAGGAGTAATCACTTGCCATAGACAAGAATTTTTTGGTATTTAAAATATTAAATGATTTAATTTTCCACACCTTCATATTCTGACAGTATCTGCAATGTTTTATCGGTTCCTTTGTGTGCTGATGACACCCGTAACTCGCATGGAACTCCAAAACTTTTACAAGTACTACGAATCTTTTCTGCATGCTCAGTGTCGCTGGCCGAACCCATAAATACAACAACTCTAGCTTGTGGTTTGGGCATTAATTTCTGTAAGTGGTGAAAACAGTGAAATATAGTAGGTAATATTTGGTAATTATTTATCAAATATTTGAAGGATCAAACATACTTGAGCAACATTACAATTAAATTCACAACCATGGCCGGTGCAAATCATGTGGGATACCACACCCCAATTTCATCTCATTTTTTTTTTTGTGAATTGCAAGAATATTCCCAGTTCTATAGTAATATTTGAAATATAATATCTACCTCTTATTAAAAAAAAAAAATAGTACAGACATGCTATTTTTTTTATTTATAGTCTCTT